TCAGCAATACTAGCAGACATAAATTAACATATTAACTTAGAGAAACCACAAACCATTTGCACCGTACTGAAGTACAAAATCCACCTTCTTAAGAGAATTTGTTAAACATTCATGGCTAGAAGTGCAACCAGAGTGGATCTTGACTGAACAAAAAAGCAAACTTAATCCGATGGAAGCATTCACGTGAACTGTTACATTCCTGGAAATCAAATGAAACTGGAATTAGCCTTACTTTGCACTGAAAAGCTAACAAAGCCAATGTCTGCATAAGCTTAGTGAATAAATAGTATCCATTTTTTACATCAGGATCATGAATAAAATTGTGAAACTAATTTAAAGTTACAGGAAGAAATCCATCTAGTCTCACGTTAAAAAGGCTTTACAAGCAGCCCCCACCCCCCAAAACGAGAGCCCTCCTCCCGCGATATACGTGGACGTCTGAAGCTTTGTGCGCTGTCAGTCTTCATTAGCACTGGCAGTATTGTCACTTCGAAGTAAAAATGCTTTGTAATAAACTTTCCAAATGGATGGTGATTTCACAGCTCATAAACCAAGCTGACTTAAGGAAGTCTGCAGCACGTTATTTACACTATAAATATAGCGTTTTGACAGACTAGAAATATGTACTTTAACTTCCTCGAGTGTGATTAGCTACATGAAATTAGTCAAATAAAAGGGATCAGTTCCACATCATTTGAATTTCCCTCGTTTACTGGCTTTCAAAGCAGCTTTCGTTCTGTTCGGTTCTCTCTCAGCTCTGCAGAGACGCTCGTGTCTTTGCAAACAAAAGGCGTACTCGCTGCTTGCAAGGCAGACATCCAAGGCAGGACAACGGATCACCTGCAAGGGAGGCATCTACGGAAGGCAAACCGAACAGTAAAATCAAGAAGGGCACGAAGGGACCTCCACAGAGAAGAAGGGCAGGAAGCAACCTCCAGAGGTCACCTAGCCCAGGGGCCCACAGACGATGGGTTGAATACCAGTGATCTAGTCCGACCCCTAGCAGCACCCTATCCAGACCATCCCAAACAACCACAGTCTAAACTCTGCATAAGACTGCCCTCAACCTTTATATAACACAGACCTACCGCCCTAACCTGCCACAAGTAAAGCAGGGGAACCACGGCAGCCAGCATCCTGAAATAGTGTCAATATATGCTCAAGAGGTCCCAGGTACAGGGCCATGACGCCCGCTACAGAGCAAGGCCAAAACCTCCACAGTCTGTACCAATCTGACCGTGGAGTAAAATGCCTTCCTAGCCCCAGATATGGAGATCAGTCTTCCTAGCAACCCTTCTTCATCGTCTATGGAAGTGTGACTTTTGGGTAGTGTAGTATCAGAAGAAAAGTTGCGGTGGTAACGAGATGTACGGATGTAGACGTACAGCAAGTGTCAACACAACACACCCAGAGCAGAAACAGAATAACCGCGTTTGAACTGTGGGCCGCTCAGGCTAACATACTCGGCTTCTCAGCAGGGTCGTAAACTAGCTAAGGTATGGGCACCGGCAGAGCACTGCACTGTACTGCGCAGACGATCATAAATCTCTACACTATGCCCTTCCTTTAAAACAAGCCTCATCGGAGGACTTAATGGGATACAGTAATGTAAGAGCGATGTTGTATGATGGTCCAGAAATGATGCGAGGGGCAAGGATTTCTTATATTGGACCATATCTGTTTAATAGGACACACTTGGGACAAGGAAACACAACACCGTTTCCCACCTCTACATAGCTGCCCTCTGATTTGCCAGACATGCATCAGCTGCCATCATGCTACAGTTTATGAAGCGCTAGATTCTCGTTCCTAAAATCCTAAAACAACACTTGCTTCGCGCCCATCACTCCAGAACATCACCGGTAAACTTTAGACGCCCCGGGAGTACTCGTATGACACGAAACGCTCCCGTCACAAAATGGAACAACAAAAACATCGCAAGGAAAGTATTGGTACACACTTGCAAACCAATGCATTGCAATTTCCTCTTCACCTTTAACAGACTGCCCTTTGACCTCTTGATGCAATAGCACTTACTTGAATTTTACTGTTGGTCATCACTAGCTGGCAAACAGATTTGAGGGGTTCAGAGATGCATCATATTTACCATTTATTACTTAAAGTATAATATGTGTAGACAATATCTGCCCCAGGACAATATTGGTAATTTCTTTTAAATTTTTCACTTGTCATGTATTTAATTAATTGCCTGTTAGAACAATCACTACCTTTCAGCTCTCTCTCAGTCTGCCCGTCTCTTCAGGACCACTAGTATCGTCAGCAGAGATGATAAAGAGCATCAAACAGCACTCTATAAACACTTTCTAGGCTGATGGCATCAGCCTAAAAGCAAAATATATGCTGTTTCACTGCAGGACATGTCTTCTCATTAAAGTGGCAAGTGGGACTGCTTATGTAGCAAGGACTGTTAGAGAAAAGCAAATTAAAAAGCTGGCCTGGGAGCATGGCAGCAGCATGCTCTGCTGTTACATGAGAAACCTGGCTTCTCTTGTAAACCTGGGCTTTCCGGCACGGCTCAGGGAGAGTCTGTGGTGACATTACTGCCAGCGATGCATCCTACACGGCCAGCGGCTGAGAAGGATGACGGCCATGCTGTCTACATAGCAATATCGGGGATTGCCAAAGGCACCGAGGGCTGTTCACCACATTCTTCTGGCAACAGACATGCCCATCATGCTGATACCCTCTCACCACTACCGCAGGAGAAAAGGAAAAGATACCCCTGCCTGTCCTGCCCCACTTCCCCTCCCTGCCCAAGAAATATCCCTGCTATAGTCTACTATCTCACAAAGATACACATGCTTAGAATAGCCTCTATAATTCAATGCAGAGAGCTGCTGCTGGAAAAAGTTCTTCTTTAAATAAGAGAATTGGCCACTGGCATTTTAATTCTTCACCAGAGTTGAAAGTAGAGCACTTGGCTCCGATACCCGACTCCTCATGGAGGAAAAATGAAGTCAACACACCTTTAGCAAATTATCAGAACAGTCATCCTAACAACAAATACTCTGGGGACGGCAGCTAGCAGGTATTTTTCTGCCCTGGTAACATATTTGATCTTTTTTCCCATTCCAGCATTTGTGAGCACTTCTTACTGTGCAGGGTATTTTCTCAGTCCATTTTCTAATTCCCAAAGTAAATGGCACAAGTGTTTGTTCCTTTTCATAGTTCAACTTCTCATCCTGCTTGATCCTACAATCAACTAGAGATCCTAGCCCTGCAACCCAAGCCCCTGATGAGGACTCATCTATGCAGACACCCACCGGAGTGGAAGATATTCTGCGCAGCTACAAGTGTTCGTTGCAAGAGTAAGAACATCCCCCGTCGGCGATAACGTCACCACTTCCTTGGCTAGTCCAAACCAAGATTACGAGTCAACTGTGGAGTGATGAGTTTAGTATCATTTCTGCAGCATTACCTGAATTACATTTTTAACAAAAATCAGAAGCAAGCAGGATATTAAAATTGCCGAGACATGTGTATGCGTGAGTAGCTGCTTAATCATATTTCCCAAATTTTTCTCCTTGCTTACAACCGTCTTTTCTTCCTCACCACTGCCAATACCGCCAGTGTATTTCTATGACATTAAGATTGGAGCCGTTTCAACAAGGATCTGATCTATTGTTCCAATTAAGTTCCTGGTAAGCTTGAGAGTTACAAATGAACATTAAAAAAATGGAATTATCCTGGCCAGGAAACATTTCTCTTTAATAACAGTCTCTTTTCCAAGTTTCCAGCCGTGTGAACATCCTCCTTTATGAGTAATTATAAATGTTTATTAGAAATATGAAAAAAAAAAATCACGTGGCTAGTTCCAAAATTTCAAATATCGCTTCATATTCATATTTACCAGTGTTTCCTCACTGAGGCGACCTCAAGCAAATTCTTCTTACCTCAGTGTTACATACAGAAATTCAGTTTCAAGAAGTATTCCCATTAAGAATGTTATTTTGAGTTACTCATTAATACGAAATAGTTGATTACACTAATTAAGAGAAAACACAGTCATGGTTGATAGGCCTTAAGTTAAACAAAGGTTGGCTGTGTTTGGTTTCCATGCGCGAGCAATGAAGCCGTTCTAGAAATATGAAATAACCTACGGCAGTGATCACAAAGAAAGCCAGTGCTGAACTCTGATTGCTGGCGGTACAGACACGAGAAATGGCAAGTTATCTATATTATAGATTTTTCAGGCTAAGATTTCAAAAAATAGTATTTACAAAAACGATACATGTTAAGATCACTGAAATTTAAAGTATCTTCACCATTTCTCTTCAACACTATCTTTATTTAAGAACCCTATAAATAAAAAGTTCATGATAACAGTACTCCTAACTTGTCGGATTAAACAAAATGTTCCTGTAACAAATTCTGATGGTTTAATATTTCTAAATATAAACTCTAGGTCCCAAAGAAAAAATAAAATGTAATCACAACCGTAGGCGACAGTATGCCACAACAGAAACTTAAGAAGGGCATAATAAATGTATCATTAAGAACCTTGCATTTAGTCACCTTCAGCATCTTAACTCATAAAAGCAATTAGCAGCAGCTTATTCTGCAGGGGCACCTACCACTAAAAAGATCTCCATTTTAAATGGTGGTTGTTTCATTTTTGGCTTTCCGCAATCATGCACTGCATTCTTAGATTTCAGGATTCCTCTTGCTAGTCTCTAAGGGCATTTTTAAACATGCTGGGGGCCCGCAGCATCTTGTGTATCAGCATCCCCATGCTTAAAAAGGGTGGCGAGGGTGCTTGAACTGAACTCCCACTGCCTTTTTAAGCACAGGAACGCTGATACACGAGACGCAGGAGGCTGCTGGAGTGCAGTAATTGCCACGCTCCCGCAGACTTGGTCAAACAAGGCTGCTCTGATGCACTCTAATTACAGCGCAATGGAGCAGCCTCTGTGCTCATGCACAGGCGCCCTAAGGCATGGCC